TGTGTGTGTGTGTGTGTGTGTGTGTGTGTGTGTGTGTGTGTGTGTGTGTGTGTGTGTGTGTGTGTGTGTGTGTGTGCGTGTGTTATGTGTGCGTGTGTGAGAGAGAGAATATAAAGTCTATCATCTCCAGATTGCCGACTGTCAGTCAACGAGCGCAGTTGCAAGTGAGTTGACGTTTCATAGACGTTTCCTTATTTCTATTTTTTACAATCTATTTTTTACAATTCTGAGCTATCTAACAAGTTAATGTAATATATTACGTGATCTCGTAAGTGGTGCGTTCGAACAATTTTTTTCGAAATTGCAATAAATTAGCAATTAAGGGCATTAGTCTCGAGATTCTTCAACAAAGCTAATTGTGTGCGAATTTCAGTTGCATCTATTGAAAACTCATCGTACTTAAACTTCAGGTCAGTCAATTATCCTACCTAAAATAAGATTTTTATTTAGATTCTAGATCTTAATTTTTAATCAAGATTTTTATTATTAATTTTATCATTAATTTAATTTGCATTATCTTATATTACAGAAACAAATATTATTTTCGAAAAGTTTTATTTGTCTCGATAAAATTTTATTTAGTACTCGTATTCATTCATTTTATTCTTATTTATTATTTATATAATTCGTATTTATTTGTATTTATTATTCATATAATTCGTCATTTATTTTTTGTATTATAACAGGAAAATATTTTTTAATATGATCCTATAAATGAATATATTATTAATAAAAAGATTATTTTTCTCCCAATAATAAAAATATATATATTAAAATGTAACAAAAAAAATGCAATATTCGATTAAAATATACTTAAATTTACATTTTGACTTATAATTTATGATTTTTTAATTATCATTTATTGCTAATAAAAATGTTTGATTTTTTTTAAATATTATGCAAATACAAGAACATTATAATAATTTATTATCAAAATTTTTTATCAATATTTATTGACGAAATTACAAATCATTTTCATCAGTTGTACTAAATCATTGTTATTCTCACGTATGCCAGCCAGATTATATAATAAATCATGCTTTAAAATATTTAACCTTTGAAACAAGAGATGTAGAATTTTAGATTTGAATTTATCGATGCTTGCTATTTCTATATTTCACTTTTATTTTTAAATGTGACTTGTTGTAAATGTTTCTTACATTTATTTTAATTAAAATATTTTATCTTATTTCTATTCTTATTATCTATATAGATGAATAAATAAAATCCGAAATATTTAATCTATTATAAAATATTTAATTTAATACAATAATTTCTCTTTACTGCTTTTTATATTTTTAGATATTTTAAATTAGATGCTGATTAAATAAAAAAGCTCGAGCAAATTAAACAAATCATTTTCAATGAATAAGTGTTCATTTTCAGTGTTGCGAATATTAAGTATGTTCTTTTTGACTGAACTTTGTGCATTATTCTATCTTTTCCTTTTTTTTTCTCTCTACATTGGAAAGAATATAAAGAAGATATTTACGATATAAAAAATTTAGTAAAAAAAGGCCTATTAATAGTATCATTCAGGATCAATAAAACTGTTTGTCAATAGACAACAATAGGACAGATAAGAATTAGCGCTGTAAACGGTACGCAATTAACACTTTTTATCACAAAAAATTCACAACTTTTTATTACAAAGTCCAAACGTTTGGACTTAAGTGTAATTTTGTAATAAAAAGTTGTGAATTATTTGTAATAAAAAGTGTTAATTGCGCACTGTTTACAGCTCTTTCTTATCTTTCTTATCTTTCTTATTCTTATCTGCTTTATTGTTATAACACTAAGAATCACTTTGTTTGTTTGTGTTTGTTTGCATTCTTTTGCTTAATCTGAATCCGATTTTGAATAACTAATAAAATTGATATTATTGATATCAAATGAAGTATAAAAGAAATAAATAGGGGAAAAAAGTAATAAAATGTTTTTGTACTTATTATCATTAATTATATAACAATCACATCACCGGCAGAGTCAAAGGTATTTTACACTGCTGAAAATGACTTTTGCTTATTCTAATGCGCATTATATAATCTATAATGCGCATTATACACTATTTGAAACAGCTCTTAAACTTTTTGTTGCGCAATAAATTCATAAACAAAGAGAAATAAGCACAATGCGGCTGCGTGATAACATGATAAATAATATATACTAGAGATCGGAAAATATGCTAGTGATCTACTATGCTGATCTAAGAACGTCGGGATTTCCCACGAATGTGAAATTGAAATCTAATATCTCCGTTTCGTTCTGAGGAAGCTTCTCTCGCTGGCGAACAAAACGAGGGAGAGGTCGCTTCCATCGGCGGGGGGGAGGGGGAGGGGGGAGGGGAGAAGTGTAAGAGAGAGACCGAGCTTCTATAATAATGCACGTATGACGTCACTCACTTGTCTATCTTAAATCTGTCGAGTGCTCGTCTCGATCTATCGATATGCGACGAGTGCGAGCCGAGGAGCCAGGCGTTCCCGACATCCTCCGAATCGAGAAGCTGGCTCCTCTCGTAGCCGGTGCACCGGCGCGCGTCATCGGCGCTGGTGTACACGGAACTCGTGCTGGACGAAGGCGAGGAAGCTCTCATGGTTTTTCTCTGCGAAAAGCTCCATTTATTAGTGGATAATAAATGGAGCCGCACGCCCGCTGCACGCTCCGTGCGCGACGTTAATTCATAACATTGACTCACTCACTCGGAAGACATGCCGTTCGTTTTTCACCATCTACAACCGCGCTTCTCGGCCGGCGTGCGTCGAGAGATTCCACGCCATATCAGCGTTGTTAGCTCTACATCCTATAGTACAGTAACTGCTGTGCCGATTATTACAGAGGCAATGTCGAGAGTTGAGTCCTTGAGTTGAGGAGAACGCATGCGTGAAGGAACTGCCCGTTCCTATAGACGAAATATGATAATTGCACCGATGATGGCGAGATAATAATCGCATATTGCGGTTAGAAGATAGCTACACTTGCTGGCTCCCGTTAGAAAACATTGTTATATTTTAACGTAACGTTTTAAACGGAGAGCAGAATTGCGAATTGTAGCAGCAAATGTATCAGCCGAGTAAGCAAGATCGATACGAGCCTGCGCGACGCGAGGCAGGCCACGAAGCGACAAAATAAACGCAAACGCCTCAAGTTGCATCGCTCAAGTTTCGAATGAAATTTATGAATGTCCGTGCGCAACTTTGAAAATTTTCGATAGTGCAACATGTCATACCTCCGTTCTTCCAGCAAGTCGAACGTACACGTTAAACTAGTCTTATCTGTCATTTTTCCAAATATAAAGAAAAGTATATAAAACTGCGAAAACAATGCGAATATTCTACTCGCTTAACACTCGGTCGCACTTTCCGCTTAGCCGCGTGCGAGTGCGTTTTCCAGCAAATTTCCACCGGCACTTAAGTTTAATCGAATCAACGGACTATCTTGCACTCCCGAACGAACGTGTTGAAATTTTTCGATGACTCCACCAAGCGCGAAAAAATTCGCGGACGATGTCAGGCCACGTGAAAAGCCCGATGATGGACGGGATTTATTCATGAAGAATGAACGATGAACGACGAAGCTGGAGATCGCTCATGTGTTAAATGACACACTTGCTTCACCGATGAACGCGCGTCGCGATGTGGTAAGGTAGCGGAATGCAGCCCGCCCGGAAACACGTTTTGGGAACAGGATCGGTAGAGATAAAGATAAAATGTTTATCTGAATCCAAACAACGAACAGTCAAATATATTAAAGAGAGATCCCAAAGCTGATTCTGAGCTGCGAGCGCGTGCATTGAAAAGAAACAGAGTCAACATTGCTTATCTTTCTGCGGAATGAAGCATACCGTAAGATCCTGTAAAATGCCGAATTTTCAACAGTTTCCAGGTATTTTTTTTTATTTGCACTAACTTTATACATTGTTCAGACATTGTTTATGCCGCAACTTTTTGTAATGTTAACATCGATACAACATTCACACCCGACAAAGTTCCTGAAATTTTATCATTGACACAGCGATAAACGGCAATTGTAGTCAATTATCCGAGCCGCACGGTTTCTAATTTATAATTTTAGATCGATGGGCGGTTCAGTTGATCGTAAATAAGCGATTCCAGCAAATTTTGAAATTGCATGGACATGCGCGTGGAAACGATCGAGTCTCGTGCGTACGATAATAGGATGTTGCTTAACAATGAATATTTAATAGCAGTGTATTATATAAATTAAATAGACACCGATACAGAAGATGATCCGTATTCACGTCGCATTAAGCGTGCATCTCCGATTAATTCTTTTTTACAGCCGTCAACTTATATTATAAATAATATAAATATATATGTAGTAATAATTATTCTTAAATATCGTTAGACTATATATAAATTAAAATGTACAAATGTATCATATATAAATTAAATGTATGTAAATGTATGTAAATGTATGATTGGAATGAGAGAGAGAGAGAGAGAGAGAGAGAGAGAGAGAGACTGACTTGTAACAATAATAGATAAGATACGTGAATACGGATCGACCTTTGCATGCTTCTAACAATCTCTTATCGAAATGAAAACATTCTTATTATTGTAATCACGTCATCATCACACGTTCAGAGAGAACCACGTTCGAGATATCTGTACACATAGATTTGTACATACATATATGCCCTATGCGGTTTTTGGAGGAGCATCAATTCCAACGGCTACTTACACTCTATTAGCTGATGTATCGTAGCTTTATCTACATTTACTAATAATCATTGCGTAAACGTCAGTCATCAAAGAATCATGGAATTCACGTTACAATGAATGCAATTGTAACTACCGAGCGAAACTTGACATTTACGAAAGACACAAATGTGAGAGTAATTTTCTTCTTCCTTACTATACTTTTTCTTCTCTTCTTCTTCCAATAGTGTAACATGGCGCCCGATGAACTTAACATCCGAGTGTTCGCATCTTTGATTCGACGTTGTTACTACTTTTTGTCAAAAGAACTTTCTCGGGTGTTCGACTTCCGTCCGTTGTTCTTCGCTACTCCACGAGTCTATATGACTTGCTTCGGCAAATTAAAGATAAATTGAACCGGAACGGTTCAATTGTAGATAACGAGTTTTCGCGAATTCATCGTTGACGCAAACTTTCGATATTTGATTGGAATTTAATCGAAGACGATCATTGATTGATTCTTCGTTCATTTTATGAGGCGAGCGCAAACAAACTACTCGAAACCAAGTTTGCCGATGGTGTATTAATCAGTTCCGTTCTTCGATTTTTGTTATAAAAGATGATTCCACGTTGTCGTTGCGTCACGTATAATTGCAGAGCGAAAGTACAAAAATATAATTTCAGGATATGTCAATATGCTAACGTCGACCCGTAAAGATCTGCAAGGATCAAATCCATATTTTTCCTCAAACTTTTTACATTTAGGACATAAGATACGAAATTGAGATCAGGCTACACGTGTTTGGACGAGTTATTTGTCAAATATCGTCTTCCTCGCTTTCATATTGCAAATAGCGTTAAATGTAAGTTATCAAAGTAAAGTTATATAAGTTATCAAACTATGTCGCATTCCATCTGCTAATTTTATTTCCGCGATTTCACAAAATAAAACGTATCGTGACGGATGATGTTCGTTTTATTTTGAAACTTCCTGAAGCGCCATACGTATCAGCTTAATCACTTAAATATACGTGGTGAAATTTTTATTTCATCCTTGACATACCCGCACACGTACACACACACACACACACACACACACACACACACACACACACACACACACACACACACACACACACACACACACACACACACACACACACACACACACACACACACACATACGCGCACAGACACACATGAGCGGATTATCCAAAGAAAAATACATTTATGCTTAAAAGGACAGGCTTAAGAGGAGGGAGTTAGAAGTGGCCTCAGCTGCGCAGCCTCCTCGCGATCCTCGGAATTTTCGAGTTCACGATTGTTGCTCTTCGATTTTCCTCGTGGAGATTTCGTCTGCGAATCCTCCTTCGACTTCTCAAGATTGTCATCCTCATCGTTCCTCTCCACTTTGGCTTCGATTTCTTCGACACTGCTCCAACTGCTCTCGCTCTCGCTGAATTCTCTTTTCTTCATATTACCATTTATCTTTTCCTTCTCTCTTTCATTTTGTTCGCCACTTTCCTGCATTCGAATAATTACATTTAAAGCTGAAATTGCGAATTGAATTAAGTAAAATAAGAGAATACAAAGAGACAATTGTTTGACTCTTCTGTTACGATCACTTTTAAAATTGTTATATAAACAATGTTACTTTTAGATAATTTAAAATCATCTAGATAAAGCTAAGATAAATTACATTTAAACTTATCTTAAATAAGATAAAGATAATTTTAATTTAAATGTATCCAGATAAAATAATTATATATTATTTAGATAATTTTATGATAATATCTTTTTAAACAAAATATGGAATACAAAAATAATATTTTTATAGAATTTTTACTATTTATTAGTTAGATAGCGTAAGCGAGGAAATGTAATTAATGCAATTCTTGATATAAATGATTTATATTATTCTAATCACATAGTCACTACACCGCTCTTTGAATAAATGTTTATTGAAAAATATTTGATACGAACTAAATCTAAAATTTAATCGGATTCATATTTATACATAACAATTTCGTAATTATTTAGCTTTCAGTTAGTGTCTGTTATATGATTCGTTTCAAACATTCATTTTTATTCGAAGTATAAATTAGATCGAATCTACTTCTAAATTGCGTAATTAAGATAATTTGCAAAAGATAATATTTACTTTATCTAAGATGAAAGTAATATATATATATTCTTTGTCTAGATAATTGTCTAGATAAGATAAAGATAAGATAAAGCCTTTCTTCATCTAGATAATTTTATATACATAACGGCAACACTGGTTATAACACGTTGCTAATTGTAGAGTAATTATACAATCATTTAAAGCAATTATATAAAATTATCGGAAGATACGGTCGTGGATCGCGCCAATTGTGCGCGCTAGCGCGAAACACGGACGATAACATTAATCTGTAAAATAATTTCAAATCCAACAAATTTTGAATCCATTTTATCTGAAACACGTACCATGGCGAGAGATTTAAGTAGCGTGGTAGTCGTTGTCGTGGCTGTAGTTGTGTCCGTGGTGTCGCTGCTCTCGCTGTTATTATTCGGCCTAATCGCGGTCGATAGCGCGCCTTCTTCTAAATTTTTGCCACGCACGTATCGCCGCGAAGACCAGCCCGAGTTCTTCCCATTACCCTTGCCATACTTGGGAGCCACGCCAGTGGTCCACACGCTCGCATCGCTGCTTCCCGTGCTGCTCTCGCTTCCAGTGCTGCAATGTCGCCATCGGCGCTCTGTGCACGCGCCATAAACGACGTCTTTTTTTATATAATATACGTTAAATGCTAATCCAGAAGTAGTAACATAGTTTCCTCGACGATCTATCTTTCATTTGCAAATCTCCTTATGTAAAAAAAACCTGCGATACTTCAGCGATATTTATGATACGTAGTCATAGTTTACTTCTTCTTAATTAAGATAAAGAATATTATATTATGCACGATTGCAAAACTTGAAAAAGGAATGAAACGTTTATTACGAACATCATATATATGTATATATATATATATATAAGAAATAGTAAACTAACGTAACGTTGATTATCTTTGTAAGTCGCGATTTGATCAGAATTGCAAATGCGATTGAATCACACGTAACACACTAGAAATGCTATCATATGACGTACTTTCGCCCGGCGGTGGATTACTATTGGAATTGAGGGGTTTTCTCAGAAGGGGGCTGCCTCCGTCTTGGCTCTCCTCGCTGTACGCGCGCGTTATGAGGATCCTCGGGCTCCTCTTCGGGGTCTCGCACATAGCTATGGAACATCCCGCGCCCAAATCTGCCCCGATAAAGTCGCTCCGATAATGGGGACCCATCAGACTGGCGGCACTCGCGCTCGCCCTCACCAATTTGCTCGGCTCACCTTAGCGCGCCATGATGAAAGGATGACGCTCATATCAGTGTCGAAACGTTTATCCATCAACGATCAAGAAGTCTTTCAAAAGTTTTATTTATTTCACTAAAAGTTTGTACTTCTTTTTTTTTTCTTTTTTTTTTCTATAGAAACATTCGCGTACAAGGTACAAGGACTTTGAATTGTCGGTTCGTCGGTTTGCTGAATTCAGATTATTTGAATACGCACGGATATCTAATATCTAAAGCTAAAACGATATCAGCAATAGAGATCGCATAATCGCGCGTACCTGATTCGGTGGTCGGCACTCTGAGAGTATTACACGAGACGGCGGGCTGCAATCTGCCGCGTTGAAACCCCAGATTATTGCTTTCAAAACTACCCCCGGTCCTGCACGAGCCGAGGGCCAATAGCGCCTCGCTGAGCCTTCGTTGCAAGGGCGGGAATGGGAAGAAGGAAGTGTTCCCGCTGCCGGAAGGCCTTCTGGAACCGGCGACGCTCGGTGTTCTCGCCTGTATCTCCTGGAACACGATTTATGGTTGCTCTTACGCCACCATATACGTATATTTATATATATATACGACCATAATGGAGACATAAGAGCAACGATAACCGTAAACTGAGAGAATTACTACTGTCCTTCGAGCACCACACCACAAACGTTTATTTTTCTTACGTTTCAAATTACCTGCTGCAACTCCGACTTAGTTGCCTTTTTCCGCCAGTAATTCTGGACGGATCGTCGCAGAGTCTGCGATTTCAGGCCGTAGAGGAGACCGTTGATGGGTGGCGAGCACGCGAGGAGAAGCGATGCTAAAGAGGCGAGCCTGGGGTGTGCGTGAAGACGGTGCTGATTACCGGCTCCGCAAGCCTCCCAGAGGATAAGCCCGCAGTACGGAAAATAAAGTAGATACAGAGAACCGACCAGTTGCATCACCTGAAAAGTTGTTCTTGCGAAACCAATCGTAAGACAAGACAATCTATCAATGGCGGACCATTCGATCGCTGTGCGAATTTATTTATCCTCATTGGACAATAAACGGAGGTGTTTGTCTCGAAGTTTGACTAATTACACAGATATTAAAGATTCTGGACCCCCTCGAATAGAAATTGAATTGCGGCCCATAATCATGAGACGCTGCAAACGAGGAAGTTTCGGTAGATACTTCGTCGATGCCTCTCAGCGTGGCGTCTATCGATTTGACTTGCTAACTCCAGGGCAGACAATTAAATTACAGATCGGTCTTTAACTACGGGCGCTTTTCATTAGCCTGATTAGCTTAAATCAAGTGACTTGACAAAAGCCCAAATTGGTTGGATGTTCTTATTAAAGAAAAATTGATTTCGCTTCCATCGTAAAAAAAATCGTTAAGAAAGGTCGTGAAGACGGCTTGGTACGCTAATAGGATATAATCGCTTTACGCCTCGCCTTAATCACGAGCTTTAAAATTCCAGAAAAACGTCTGTACAAACCGTGCTGGCGGCACTGTGGAAACGCGGCGGTCCGCCGGCGGAAGGTGCGGTGACAGTTGGCACGAAGAACGGATTTCGCTGGTGGGTGATGGTCACCTGGGCGCTCAGGGTGACCTCGTAGATCGCGCTGGCGATACGATGCCGATGATACCGCGCTATACCCAACACGCGTAAATTGCAGACCGTCACGAGGACGGCCGGCAGGCCCAGGCCCAGGATGGCGTAAACGGCGCCGTAGAGCGCCGCGGCGGATCCCCAGGTACCGTTCCCGAAATCTGGGGCGCAGCAACCCAACCCTGGGCTATAGCTGCATCGATATATTCGGATATTGAAAAGAAACAAAATCGGTGTATATAAACGTGATTTCGCTGCGGATTGGTAATACGTGAATTTTTCCTGTATTTGTATCACGCGTACGTTGTATTACGCGATTGAAAGTAAATAAAAAAAATAAGAAGTTTGCCGAACACTTTATCGTTCGTTTACAATTCGTTCCGTCTAACTTAGCTAACGCTTCGTCAACAAAAGTTCCGTTCTGAATGAGAATTCTTTCGGGTGCGCGTTTCCGAGAGCTTGCGCGAGAGGGAAATTCTCGAGATTGTCTCGAGATTGTCTCAGCGCGAGCCTTTATGCGACGCGAAACAACTTGCCTCCACGAAGGGCGAGCAGGGAGCACACAAAGCAAATCGAATCTCGTTCGTTACGCGCGGAAATGCAGCAAATCGCAAAGCAATGCCGTAGAATGAACGCGAGCGAATGCTACGGAATGCGACGGCTGGTTTTCGTCCAGGTGGTGATGGTTAATGTTGCGTAACGTGTAGTTATACAAACCTATAAGGTGGCACTAGGCCCGAGAACGGCGGCAAGCACAGGAGTAAAGCGCCTGTCCAAGAGGCAACCAGTCCGACGACCACCCGACGCGGAGAAACCAAAGCGGTGTAGTGTAGCGGTGCGGCAATCGCGTAATACCTGCAGTAGAGTAATTGCATGGCATGGTCGGTGAGAACTCTATGAGACATAATTTAGATGCCGGCGTGATGTGGTCGTTTCACACTCGGCCGGACGTTTAGCTCTAATGATTTCGCGCGAACCCATTAGTCCCGATTTGTCACTTAATCCAGGGTTAAATGGTACGGCAACATGTGAAATACATAGCGGATGGATCGACGTCTTCGAGAAAAAGATTGACGGAAAAGCAAGGCGGTTTCCGTCATGGTCATGGAGAAGGAGAAAATGCGGAGGCGGATCACGAAGAAGTAAAGAACGAGGTGATTTAAATCTGTTTAAGCTCTTGAATAAAATATTCCGATCGAGCCGCAGTCGGGCCTGGCAATGTTCTTTTACAGAAAATAAGAAAGAGAGAAAAGTTTTCCATATTCTCGCCTTCCGTGTTTCCTTAGAAAAAAAAACTGTGTGATGCGTTGAACAGAGGTTTGAGTGGAAAAGGAATGAGTGGAGGAATATACAGCCTTAATAAGATTTTTGAAACTGAATCGCTTTTGAAACGATATAAAAATATGATCGAAAAATATAATATAATATGAATTTATTAAGAAGGAGAGTAATCTAGATATTGCTTTGAGCGGACTACAAGTTACAAGTTCGATAATTACAACAACACGTGATATAAGCATTTATCTTGAATTTATATTAATTTATGCTTTTAAAATGCTTGCAATTAATTTATGCTTAATTATATTGAATATATTGATTCAAGAAACGAAATAAAAATTATTCGATACCAAGACCCTGTCTGCCGATTAATGCCATCCATTATCCTATTGTTTGAAATACATATATCGGTACCTTGGTTTGTTTATAATATAATATATTTACACGAGATAAACGAATGAAATTATTTTAATCGGAGTTCTCCGACTTCAATCTAGGTTCGCCGCCGTATAAAAACCGCAAAACTGTTAATGCAGCGAGAGGATAAGCAACAAGTAGAAATGGAAGCACTTGGGGATTCTAGGATATAGATTGTATCGAACATATCATATTATCTGACAGCTACAACGATATTATTTGAACTTACAGAATCCTTATTGATATCCTTTATATGACACGTTGACTGAAACTGAAGCTTCGTATCACTCAATGTACGTCACGTATCGAAATTCAACTCGATTTTTCATCAAATTTTCCCCTTCAAGTTTCTGAAGCTCTCCACTCTTAATTTATTTTAGTAACAATAATGTTTTTCGGTGTGAAATTCTGTTTAACAGTGTTTCAACGCATCACGACTGGAAGTGCGTGCGATGTTACACTTTGTATTACGCAAAAAGATACAAAATCGATAAGTAGTAGTAAGAGAACAATGTTATCGGATCGTTGCATTATATAATTCAATCGGAAAACATGTTGAACTGCACGAAAATTATTCTGAATGCGCATTACGTAAAACGCGATATGCAAATTACACGCGATTAATTTAAACGTAACGGTCAACAGCACCTCCTTTGCGCGTATTTCATTTTTTAATAAAAAGTCCCGACGCATCGATTATCATTTATTCGAAGAATCAGCCGTGCTTCCATAAATAAAATCTAATAAATTAAATCAATACCGATTCTTGATTTTATTCAGAAATCTAATCGTCAAAGCACATCTTCGTAACCGCGTTCTCTCTAAATAATATCGTAAATTGATATAGCGAAATAGCGAAAGAGAGAACGCGTGAGAGATTCACCTGTCGCAGTTCAATCCGGTGACAGTCCAAAGGGCGACTGGATGCAACAACGCCAACAGGAAGCCGTGAAGGACGCACCATGTGCCGGCGGCCGGCCACGAGCCAGTTGCGAAAATCAGCAGTATTAGACACACCGCCGCTTCCACGGCGCCCAAATGGATCAGCAGTAAAGTGTTCGCCGTCTGCTGTTGCTGCGTCTACGGGCATTGTAATACCACTCGTTGATTATTCGCTTATTCGTTACCAGGACGCTCCGCCGGCTCTCGCTTCTTAAGCTGTCCGGCGGGATTTTGTAATTTAAACTTTTAATATTAGTCCGACGCGCCGCAAACGCAATTACGCGCTGCGTACCGCGCGGCCTCGGTCGGTCCTTGCCATTTAAGAATCTTGAATTATCTAGGAGCTTTTTTCGTCCTTTTTCTTTCTCACGACGTCTTCAACGACGTCGGCGTCGTTGCGGGAGCTTAAAAGCGAGCGAAGAAAAAAAAGAAAGAAAAAAAAAAGAAAGTAAATCAACGTCATTGTTGTAG